TTCATTAGCATATTGGCATACCTCAAATACACAGTTTCAGGAGAGTGCTCCCCCATTGCAGTTATACACTCTCTCCTGCCGTGAATAAGTGGAGGATTCATTTTTTTTAGTCATAGAGGATTCACTGATTCTGTGTATTATTTATATTTTACCCCACAAATCCCTGGTACCTTTCCAGCCTTCCCCCGCTATGAGGACCATGAATGTGGGTGGGGTTTTAGGAGGTTTCTGTGCAATAACCCAGACCCAGACCCAAAACAATGTCAGATAAGAATTAGGACTCAGTCATACACCCTATCTGATTTGTAAGTCATAGCAACTGAGCTTTTAGATGAGATACATATTCGCTATGATAGTTGGAGTAGATTTTTGCAAGGACTGGTCCTCTTTGTGTAGTTTTCTTATGGTGTGAACCCAGGAATGGCATTGGTTATGGATCAGATATTGAGATTGCCATATATACATTATACAGTACCTCATGGATTAAAGTAGGCCTACGAAATGGTTAATAAATGTTCCAGTGTAACAAAAGTAGTATACACTGTCTATGAAATATGATTAAGTAGGGTCTGTTGCATTGTGTTTTACTTTAAAACTTCATTGACCTAATCCATTGTTCTGAATTTTATTTTACTTGGGATACACATATGCAATCATCATTTTTTTTTTTTTTTTTTTTTCTTCTTTTTTAGGCAGGCTTCCTACAATTGTGAGTAATAGATGTTAGTGTTTTCTTCTCGTTTTTTACTTGGATATTGAACAAACAAAAATATATCTCTTCCCATAATAAAATGCCATAGTCTATAAAAGGATAAAGATTTTAGATCATTCATTTAAATTTTCATGAAGTAGTGGTTAAACATAATAGTAAGTATTGGTAATCAAAATTATGCCATTTCAGATCAGTAATTACCAAAAATGTTATCACAGACTTGGAGGCATTTTATTACTACTTCCTTGAACAAAGGTGAGCCCTTGAATATTGGTATGAGACATTTATTAGCATTAGATAGACAAAAAGAAAGTAACTGTTATGTTTTTTTTATGAAACGGTATCATGAATGCTAAAGCCTAAGTTCACCATTACTGAGAATACAACACAAAGAATATTAGAATGTAATTCAATGGCTATTCATGTATAATGAATGAAAAATAGTTGTAAATAACCCCCAGACAACTGAGCACATTGCATCTTTAAAACACATTATAAGAACACAGGCTTTTACCAACTGTCAGTCAATCTTTAATCTTTCAGGTCTGCTTTGTAATGGTGCTGTCAGTTCTCTTGGGTATCATATCCGAGGGAAGAAGAGAAAGGTTCCTAAACCCCTAGATCCCCATCATGCAGATGAACTGCCAGGTAATGATTCATTGGGTAATTCTTTATACTATGGACGCAATTGCCAAGTCCCCAACTCCACATCAAAAAGTTTAGTCATTAATCTATGTTGCTGTGACTGGGTGTGCCCAAAGGGCAATTTGATCTGGGACTCTGCCCCATCCCCCAACAACCCCCATGGCAAGACAGAGCTGAAACTCAGGAGCACCGAGTGGACTTGGGCTGAGAGTGGCGCTTTCTGCGATCTTTTTCCATATTTGTGTTGTTACCTTTCATGTCTGCAAATTATTTCTTGCACAGACTACTACTACTTTTTGTTCTCTACAAGAACATCATATTCAAATTGCCTTACCTCAGTACAGCCATACCCTAAAGATTAACCATTCATTGTTTTAAAAAGTTTTCCGGTTGAATGGGATTTAGTTGACAAACTGGAAAATGGTAAATATGCTAGCTCATTGACAAAATTAAGATGTCCCTAAGGTATAGTGTGCTGGTACTATTTAAAGAATTATATCCCTCAAGCAATATACATTTTATACGAAGGCTTGCAATATTGTAAGGGTGCTTAATGAGAATTATTTTGACAGAAGTTGAATATGTTGGTACAAGGAGCCAACCTGATAAGCTAGTGTACACATGGGGAGTGGCAAACCACGGAGCACTGGGTAGGCCATCCTTTATTCGTCCAGACAAGGAAAAACGTCAATATCGCCTTCAGTTTATGCAGCATCCACATAGACTTGCATTTGGAGAGTATCACAAGGTATGAATATATTTGACAGTTATAAAGTGATATTGAATTTTCCCCTTTTTCCCCTCTCCATTTCTTATTCCCAGTTCAGTGCCCTTGATCTCCTTTTTCTTTTCTTTGGGTTGATATCTGATATAGGTAGCCCAGAATCCATAGTTTGATTCCAACTTCTCAGAAATGGTAAGGGAAGGTTTGATGTTGTCCTCCAAATTCATGCTGCTTGTTGGAAAAAGGTGATGTTCTTGTAGACAGAAGTTCAGTTGGGTTCCTATTATACTTTCAAATATTATGTTGGCATAAGGAAGGAGTTCAACCTGTCAATAGTTGACAAACAGAACTTTGTTTTTTTCCTCCTCCTCCTCTCCCCCACTTCTCCCCCTCCTCTCTTCCCTCTCTTCCTCCTCCTCTCCTCCTCTCCTCCTCCTCCTCCTCCTCCTCCTCCTCCTCCTCCTCCTCCTCCTCCTCCTCCTCTTCTCTCTTCTCTCCTCCTCTCCTCTCCTCCTCCTCCTCCTCCTCTTCTCTTCTCTCTTCCTCCTCTCCCTCTCCTCCTCCTCCTCCTCCATCTCTTCCTCCTTCCTCCTCCTCCTCCTTCCTCCTCCTCTTCCTCCTCCCCTCCACTCCCCCCCACCCCCACCTATTCCTCCTCCATCTCCCAACTTTCCTCTCCTCCTCTGCCCCTCTCCCCATCCTCTCATCTTCTTCCTCCTCCATCTCCTTACTCTCCTGTCCTCCTTCATCTCCTTTCTCTCCTGTCCTCCTTCATCTCCTTACTCTCCTGTCCTCCTCCATCTCCATCCTCTCCTCCTCCTTCTCCATCCTCTCCTTCTCCTTCTCCATCCTCACCTCCTCCTCCTCCTCCTCCTCCTCCTCCTCTCCTCCTCCTCCTCCTCCTCCTCCTCCTCCTCCTCCTCCTCCTCCTCCTCCTCCTCCTCCTCCTCCTCCTCCTCCTCCTCCTCTCCTCCCTCCCCTCCCCTCCTCCTTCTCCCTCTTCTCCTCCTCCACCTCCTCTTCCTCTTTCTCCCTCCTCTCCTCTCATCCTACTCCTCTTCCACATCCTCCTCCTCCTTCTTTTCTTCCTCCTCTCCTCTCTTTTATCACCCCTCCCTCCTCCTCCTGTTACTCCTACTCCTACTCCTCTTTTCCTCCTCTCCTTATTTCTTCTTAGTCTCCACCTCTCCTCCTATCTTTTACATCCTCATTCTCATTATCCTCATCTCATCCTCATCCTCAACCTTTTCTCCTACATTAAAAGACTTGAATCATTAATTTAGCAGTCTTCCATAATACTTTACCATTATTTCATTTTTATCTTTACAGGTCACAGATTTAACATGTGGTTATGGATTCACTGTTTTTGCCGTCAATAAAACTCCAGAGGCTTCTTGTTTTGGAACAGGTCTCAATACTGATTCCCAAGTAGGTTAGTATTATGTGTCCACTAGCTAGCAGTTTGCCTGAAGCATATCTATTTCATTCATTTTTTTTAAGGATCAGATTTGGTAATAATTTGATGTAACATTATTACTGATTATCAGTGAACACAGTTTTGACATTTATTTGGGTATTTATTTTGTTCTTTACGGCAGATTTACAGTAAATTCTCATTCTCATTTCTTTATATGTTCTTAGTTATATTATTGCAATAATTAAAGCAGATCATTGTAGTTTCATTAAAGAACCAAGGACATTCAGCATGCTAACAAGAGTTTGAAGGGTACTATGCAATGGTGAGAGAGACAGGAAGAGAGAAAGAGTAAGAATTGGAAAAAAACAATACTGAATAAAGTAGAATTGAGGGAAGGGGGCAGAGAATTAAAGGAGTGAAAAGAGGAATGTAGGAAAGAAGAGAATAAGGTTATGGTGACACTAGAAAAATAAAAACAAATACAAAGGAAACAAATTATAAAAAGGATAATAAATTATAAAAAGGATATGTTCTACATATTCTACTTAGAATATTACTAATGTCTTTCATTCTTTTCTTCTAAACCATTCTTCACTTAATTCCCAGCTTGTCTAAAATACATGCATTATTTAAGTGGTTTGTAGTATGATACTTCATTACTGGATTTTATTTCAGTAATACTGAACTGAGTTTTTGTTTATTTTTTCAGGTGGCCATCAGCCGAGACGAGATCACCCTCTGGGAATGTTAATATCCCCTGCACCAATTGAGGTCCCAGTAAGCAAAACCACTAATGTCATCAAGGTGAGTGTGTACAAGGCTGTCAAATATCAATTAAGAAGAGATTAGATTCAGGAGGGTTTTTTATTTTCAAAGGCTTACTAGTATAATGGAAAAGCAGATAATATGAAAATGTAAAAAAAAAAATCACTAGCTAGGGACAGGACAATTGTTGGAGTAGCAGATTTTTCAAACTAGTAAATCTGAGGGTAGAAACTAGCCAAATAGTGTTTAAATTTTTTTGCATGCTGATACCAATACAATGTAGGGGTAATCCTGGCATGCAGGAATGTCAGTACTGAACAATATGAATAAAGTATTACTTTTAAATTGTGATATTTGATTGTTACTATGTGTGCATTTTGCTTATTTACAAAGCTATCTGCTTATATCTACAATCACTATAAAATCATTATTTAAGGTTGCAGCTGGTAGAGCTCACACTGTCATGGTGACGGATAAGGAAGGTGTCTGGACAGTAGGAAATAATGCATATGGACAGTGTGGCAGATCTATTATTACTGATGAGGATTATGGAAAGCAAACAATTTACAACAGGATAAGAATACTAGATCAGCTGGACATAGCACAAGTGGAGTGTGGTCAGGATACTAGGTAAGATGTTACTGACAATCATATTTTTTCAATGTATTTGTGAGACTTACAAATATCAGTTAGTTTATATTTTTATAATTATGGAATTAATTTGATATACAAATTGATATATATTTATCGTATATAGTTATCTGCTATTTACCATATCTCATACATTAATATATTTTTTATTCATGAAGACGGAATGTGTTCTTATATTTAATATTTTCAGTTTCTTTTTGACTAAAGATGGAGTGGTTTATTCCTGTGGCTGGGGAGCAGATGGTCAAACAGGTCGAGGCCATTATGATAATGAGCCACATGTGGGCCCAGTTATTGGTGATATTGAAGGAGAGAAGGTGGTGAAAGTATCCTGTAGAGCTGATTGTGTCTTGGCTGTAAATGGTAAGATTATTTGCAATTTGATAAATTTTTGCTGCTTTTTTATTGCAAAACATGTTCTGTTAGTAATCCTCTGTGGTCCCTTTATAGAATAAACTAAGTTTATAGTTGATATTTAATTCCGAATGTTCCCTAATTTCCAGCATGTCTTGGCTTGGATAGGCAGTATCAGAATTTGTAATCAGTCATCAACATTATAGAAAAATTCTTTTTTTTGAAAATCATCCAGATAAAGGAGAGGTGTTCGGTTGGGGAAACTCTGAGTACCAGCAACTTAATTCAGTGACCAATGAAATGCAGATACATACCTCTAGAAAGTTGAAGTTACCCGGTGTTGGGAAGGTGGTGGATGTGGCAGCTTCAGGAACTATGTGTTTATTATTGAATGGTTTGTATAAGTTTCATTACTCTGAAGTTGGATACATGCTGATACTGATGTATGTGATTTTATAGAATAGTAGCTAAGATTCAAGTTCTGATATATCTGTATTTGTTTTTCTAGAGGATGGACAGGTGTTCAGTTGGGGTTTTGGGCCTATTGGTAAGGGACCAGAAGTAACTTATTCAAAGACTCCAACCCATATACCTAGTACTTTATTTGGGAAGAATGAATTAACTCCAGATGCAAAAGTAAGTTGAATAAAGTTTGGATAGTGAAGTTATTTAGGGATAAGTGTTTGTTCCTTTTTAAATCATTCTCAAATACCAAGAAATTGGATTATCATTTTGCATATATTTTGATTTTTTTGCATATTTTGTCTACAAAATAATTTTCCTGGACATATTTCTTTTCCAATTTTCTAGTAAGGGAAATGTAATTTGCTATACTTAATTATTATATTATTATTTTGTCTTCTACCTCTTACAGGTGGTTAGTGTAACCTGTGGTATCAACATACTAGCAGCAATAAACAGCCATGGATGTCTGTTTACATGGGGCAAGAATCCTGGAGGATGCTTAGGCTTAGGACACATTAAGGATCAGTATTTTCCTGTGCGGGTAAGAAATTAAACTTCCCTTTACGGCAAACGAAATTGATGGTTACGTTACAGTGAAAATGAAGATTGGTAATGAACATTTTCAAGCTACTGATATCAAATTATTTTTTCTAGGTTGCTATTGCTGGTGAAGTTCTGAAAGTTAGCTGTGGTGTTGATCATATGGCTGCTCTTGTTCGAGAAATTATTTAGTGTTGTACATACTTTTTTGTTATATAGTTTTTTTCTTGTTATTGTAAATAAAAACAAATGAAAAAATATCATTTAGTCTTCCAAGGATGCTGCCTGCAAATACAATCACACAGAAAAAATGCAAAGAAAATCTATTATTGTTCCTTTGAATATCTTTCACTATTTATGAAATCATTAAATTAAATTTTAATCATGTTATAGCTGTTCTCCCTTTTTCATATGTACAGTAGTTACTCCATAATTAGACCTGTGAAAAATATTATATGGTACATTCCTATCTAATCCCAGCTTTGCCACAATTTGTTTTCTTTTTTTACTTTATGTGTGGTGATTTAAAGTGACTTAATACCAAGATCTTGGACCTACAGGGGGATGTAGGGGGTGGGGGCAATAAAAAGTATAAATCTTGTGTTTCAAGCATGACCAAATACACATATATTGCATACTACAATAAACTGGTAACTGCAAGTCAAGGCCATTTTTAAGTTTTTTCAACAATCTGTTTCCTCACTGTCTTTACACCAATAGATATAAATCTAAAATTGGCTGCTTGGTTATAAAGTTTGCAAAGTGATTGCAAGAAAGATTTAATTATTTTGCAATGTTGATTTCTTGTTTGTAACTCTAGTATGTTACATAAAAATACATCAGATTAGCAATGCAGTACAACTTATTGCATGACTTTTGCTTTGCATGAAAAAAAATACTGATAGGAATAAATCAATGAAAAGGATAAAAAGGTTGACCTGGTAGAATTGGCAACTGACTTTATTGATAAGCACTTGTAAAGCCATCTATGTGTAAACAAAAACATTAAGAAAAAATTAAATTGGACTTGGCATATCTGTCCCTAAAATTTTAGGGATGCTATGAGGAATTTATTGATTTGAGGAAAAAAAGTAGTGAGAGGAGACACTGGCACAGTTTTAATTAAAAAAAAAAACATGTGTAAATTAGATTATTTTATTTCTTGTGTATTTGAAAATATAAACTTGCAATTGCACATCCAATGTTGTACCCTGGGCATACACAGATTATGGTAAGTAATATTCTAACACAGTCCTTACTTGGAAATTATGAAGCTAAGTGTTTCTTTTTTCTTTTATTTTATTTGTCACCTTTGATGGGTGATTCAAACTGGAAAAATATCTTCTGAGCAGTTCTTTTGGGACTAAACTGACTTATTTTAAACAGTAACATTGTTTTAAAATAGACTATACACAAGGCAAAGAAATGAGGTCCTCATTTCTTATCATATTAAATATCTGAGACAAGGAAAAAGATACCAGAAGATATTACAGGGTTATTTTGAACAATGTCAATAACAAATTCTATATCATAGTCTGTTTATATATGAGAAGCAAAGAAGTGAGGGACTGCAAGGGCAATAAGAAATTCACCAAAAGGAAGGTAAGTTCAGGTGTCCATAGTAATAGTTTCCTTCTTTTAGATATAATTCAAACTACAAATGCATTATTACCATTCCTTGGGCATGCTTATATTATGAGAAAGTCATAATGATGCAATCTGGAACACATTTTATTGGCTTTAGAAATTGTAATCACCTATCATATTTCCCCTTTATATTATGATAAGAATACACATTGGGTGCATATATATTTTCAGATTTTCTTTTTGGGTAATTATTGATAATTTGAATAGGTATTACTAAAATTGGAAAATTTTTACTTTCAAGTGTGTTAAACATCAATAGCAGAATGCCTATTGGCAGCTGGTGGTTATACTTTTATTCAGGTACTTAACATAAATTAGCAGCCAATAATACTCATTCCAGTTCTTTAGATGTTCCAAACCAGATTTAAGTCTTTTTAACCCAAAAGGTAAATCGTCCAACCCATCTTGCTGTTTATTGCTCTTAATAGGGATTAATTATGCATATTTGTTCATGACTAACAAATTACTTGATATATATACTTCATAATGTATCTTTAAAGATAATTACTACTATAAAAATATGATTAATAATTTCTACTTGCATTTATAAAACTTTTTTTCATTTCAAGAATAATGCAGTCTCATTTATCAGCAAGTTTTTTTCTGGGAATTCTGAACTGACACAGGCAGTGCCAATTACTTTCCCTCTTGTGTATGAGTAAACTTCTTTCTTATATGATCAATATTATTAACAGATAAAGATGATGCTTCATCCCAGCGATTTACACTCAAGCTGGTTTGAGTCACTAAATTCTCAGTGACTTTCAGTACAGGTTTTAGCACTCTCATAAGACAGGTAAAGGAAGACTGACTTAAGTCTCCAGACCTGTTAATAGCCAAGAAGAGTAAATAAATCACTTGACTTGTAAGATAACAACATGAAACAATTACTGGAACTGCAATAAGTTGTCTCCGGTATGTCTCTCTTTGTCTGGATCTTAATCTTTTGTTAATATATTGTGAATATTTTAAGGTCATATTCTCATACGTCTTTTCAAGAGTTGCTAAAATGCATGCTGTAATTCTGTGCAAAATAGATATTAATTCAACCTCCTGTTTGGGTCTATACAAAACTCTGTACTGTATGTCTTTTACTAAAACAAGAAAATCTTCCATACTATGAAGGTTGCACACATTGTGAGAAATGTGTAAAGGAGGGTATGTTATTGCTCTAGGTAACTGTATCTTATCCCAAGATTCCCACTCTGGATAATCAAGTTCTAAAGAATCTACCTTATCCCAATATATCCAGTTTGAGATATATGACACAGCATGAATAAGCTTCCTGTGCAATAAGGCACTTGGATGGAAAATGCACTTGTAATGCCTTATATTTCTCTTCAGTGTAACAATCAGTTCTTTGCCTTGATCTGAGAGATAATTGTCATTGGTACATTTTTTATCCTGGGAACATGCTTCATCAGAGGGAGGAGGACAATGTTCTGGGCATTTTGTATCACTTGTATTTTCTTGGATATTTCCTCTTAATTTATCATTCAATACATACTCCTCACCTGCACCATTCAAGTTTATACATTTCACTTTATTAGTAGTATCACTGGGAGCTTCATCATTATCTGAACCTCCTGAAGAGAGCACCAGAAGGCTAAGATATATAATGTGGCATGTAATAAATCTTGGGATTTCTTGTAGCTTGGCCTCTCCATGACTCACTCTGTCCCTGATGCGTGGGCCTTGGATAAAATTCAGAAGGTCATGTAGAGCTTCATTTAGTTTTGTACCTATAGTAAACTGAACTTGATTCTTTTTCTCTAAAGTATCTAATTCTCTGTTCTCCTTTCCTTGATCTGCATGCTCTACCCTATTATTTGAAAATGTGCACTTGGTTACCTCACCAAGTTCTCTGTTTTCCAAATTGTGAACACCAGCAGAACAACTAAAAAACTTTTTAACCATTGTCTGAGAAGATGTACCACTCTCCATATATTCATTAAGTATTTCATCCATGGTGGTGTATAATGTTGAATTTTCTGCAGTCAGTATTCTCTCTGAGACTTTGTTAACATGAGCAAACATTCCCCTCATGGAACATTCCATCAAGGGAAGAAGAAGAGTTACACACAAGCCCCATCTGAAATATAATATAGCAAATGTTCAAGAGAATGATTAGTCTAAGCAAGAGATGATAATGTTCCTACTTCATTTTATAGAACAACAGTTATAATAGACAAGACTAAATAGTAAATCATAAAGTATTGCAAATGACACCGTACATTTTAAGACTACTATCTCTTTCACACACACACACACACACACACACACGCACGCACGCACGCACGCACGCACGCACGCACGCACGCACGCACGCACGCACGCACGCACGCACGCACGCACGCACGCACGCACGCACACGCACGCACACGCACGCACGCACACACACACACACACACACACAGAAAACATAAAACATACCGATGTATGCATTTGAATCACAGCTTGTAATAAAAGGAATTTAAAAAGTTTGCCGTCACTTACTGCTCCTCTTCCAAAAGCTCTAAGGCCTTTTTCCATGCAGGATACATGACAGTTGGAACAAAACTGGAATTCATTATCACCTCTTCCAAAACAGCTTTTTTGGGGACGGTCATATTATCAAATACACTGCTAAGGTATGATGCCTGTAAACAGGAAAAGGGGAATCAAAATAAAATTTTACTCATAATATACCAATTTGTCTGATATATTTAACTAGAGGCAACATGACAATTCAAAGTTGTTTTTTTTCTTTTGCTAATAGTATATTGTAATATAATTACAAATAGACTAATTAGTGCCACATAATGAGATTTTTTCTTATTATATCAGTTGTTTAGGTCATCACTTACTACAGCAGTAAAAGACTTCTTTTTGTCTGGCTGTGTTACAGCAGTATATATATATATATAAATATATATAAAATATTCAGTTAAAATAATAGATGCATTCCCACCAGTTTAATAAATATTATATAATATACAAGCCTGACATTTAGAAATCTGAGCAGAGCAGGTTAAAAATGGAAAAATATGCAAAGTATTAATCAAGAGGAGTGTCAACTGACCACTCATAATACTGACTTGCTTCTTTATTCTATCTGACAGTCCAAAGAAAAAATTGCCACTAAGAATGCAATCAATGGAGGATAGAGAAAACTGACTTCATTAAAAGTTTTACTGCTATATTGAATAAAATTTACCTCTTCAAAGGTTACATGTGGCCTGCATGGGATATTCTTGATTTTATTTGTGTTTTTTAGGATCCTTCCACAGTCAGCAAGAATGAAGATAATTGTTGCAACAAAAGCTTGACTTGTTTCATGGGGACTCAAGAATCCATGCCAAGCAATGTTGCGAAGATTGAGGCCTAGTACTGAGCCAAGCATCACTATCAGCAACTGGACCTGTTATAAAACATTGTGTTACTGTATTGTTTTCTAATATCAAATACATGATAAGGACATCACATTTTTCTATAAGCAGACATTTTAGAATAAGTTTCTTTCAAACAATAAGTAAACAAAGTTGTCTTATAAGCTTGTGATAGTCTACCTAACATCAGTGAATACATTTCATTTATTAAAATATTTTATTTTTCATAGGAGATAAACTTATATAAATATGATCTATACATGGCTTACAACAATGCCAATGAATCATATAACTACAAAAAACAATATTTGTGACATAAAAGAAATACTGCTGGGCTCCTACTGTAAAACAGTCATAAGTAAGAGTAATAAGAAAAGAAGGATAAGTACAACACAATATAAAAAAACTTGATGGTGACATGTCCTCAACACAAACAATAATAATAATATGATAGTATACTATTTCAATGATGAATCTGTTACAATCAACATATGTACCTATTAAAAAATATGACTAATTATAGTGGTGCTAAGGAATCAACAAATGTGTTATTGCATAAAAAAATCTATTATAGTTTCTGAAAAGCAAAGAGAATCTTTTTCTGATATTCTTCAAATAGTTGTCAGATGCTCTATACTTTGTCTGTTTCCAATTATATGCAGTAATGGTAATAAAATACAAAGCACTGCATATATGGAACATTGTGATTATAATAATCATGTGATTAATTTTAAAAAAATTCAGACTCATTCCCATGTTCTCAGATTGGACTAAAAAATTTAAATACACCAGAAAACTTCAATATACCACTAGCCATACACCATAAAATATGTGACAACAACAATTAATTTGTAAAAAATGTAAAACAACCATACCACTATACTGCATACAGGTTAAACTAGTCTTCATATAAAAAAATGACTTACTTTTACTTTTCCAATCAACTCGTCCAGTTCAGGAGTAGCTAGAAGATCTTTTAAAAGAAATGGCACTTGCTTACATTTGAGAAGCATTACCTGAAAATATAATTCAAGTCATAAATTAAGTCCAGAAATAATTATGATTAGGTGCACAATCAAACTAACAAAGACTGATTTACATTGCAAATGGATAGGAAGCACTTTTAATAATAATAGCATAAAAAATAGATAAACTACTGAGCATTTTGTGCACCTACATTCCCTAAGGCTCTCTCCACAAGAGCTGTGATGG